GATGTTTATCCATGAGATCATCAATAGTAGTATTTATTTCTCTTTTAATATGACCCAGAGAAGTTAATAAAAGAATCGTTTCGACAACTTTATACTTCAAGAGTAAAAATTTCTACCGATTATATCATTTGTTTAAACGCTCTTTCTCTCACTACACATTCCACACAATGACGAAAACGTCCCAAAAATTAAGAAGAAAAAGAATCAAGGAAGAGGTGACTATTTTCAAGAGCTGGTTGTGTTCTTACCATTGAAGCAGAAGACATTCTACTTTTCCCAATCCAAATAGTATCAAAACTCTCTCCTCTTTCGGACACCTTTTCCATATCCTTAATGTTTTCCTCCTCACTTACCTCCAACCCGCCATTAAAACTAAACCCACCAAAGCTAACCCACTATTCGTTAGCACTCAGAGAAGTCAAACCAACTTCGGATAGTTGTGAAATCACTTACCAAGGTAGCTAAGTTGAAGTCCAAAAATCATACTTGAAGCTGGTTCAATTTTGTCCTTTAAAATCCAAGTAAACCTATGTGAGTTCACGACACTGAATTAGCACAGATGACCACGTTTAGCTACTATGGGTAAGTAAACCTATAATTTTTCTTATAATATTTTAGTTATTTGAAACAATGATCGTACTCATCTCAAAATCTTTTGGAAATGTCAAAATCGACTTCAAGAAAGTAACCAATTGTAGGATTGGGTCTAAAAATGTCAAAAAGGGTTAAAAACTGGTATCCTGAGTCGAAAGCCCCAAACAGAAGTCGTGGAGCAAAGTCGAATAAAATTTTAGGCCCGAGATTGGGTAAGGAAGTCAGAACGTTGGATTTTTGAACCCTCTAAAATTTGAGAGTTTAGGCCCTTACGAACCAAACAAACACCATAAACGGGATTAGGAGGAGAAGGAGACTCAAAAATGGAGGAAAGAGGAGGAAAAAGGACGTCGAAACGACGTGACTGAGGAGAGAGAGAGTCATCGAAAAATTCTCTAGTAATCGGGGTGAGGGAGACGAAGTCCGACCCGAGATCCAACTCACAACCCAAAACCCACAGGAAACCCTAATCGAGGTGAGGTGTCGAGAAGGTGAAGTCCACCTAGTCAGACCTAAACTCGAATACCCGTAACCCCATTATAGCCAAGCAACCCCATATCTAGTTTGATCTAGTAACATAAAATACAAAGCTTCAGCCCAACAATGCAATCAGATACCCACTAGCAACCAGTCCAATAGTCTGGTTCCTCTGTGCTTGGCCCAAAAACCCATATTCAAACCAAGAATACGCAGAACACGGCCCAACCCATTATCCACTACACAAATCTGTGTGCCCACATGAACATTCAAGACTTGTGCCTCGACCCACTTCGCAAGCTGCTCATGTGTGAATATTCCTCAACAACAAGGTCACTACTACATATACCAGCCCCTTCGGCTTAGCTTCTCAGAATTCTAGGCTAAAAAATAACATATTTGGCTCGATTTGACATTTTTAACACCAACCTTTACGTTTTTTACCTTTCCGAAGCTGATTGTTTTTAATATAGGTCATTATGAGTCCGTGAATAGAGGACCTAGTGGACAGTTTCTCTAAATCCTAAGATGAAAGACAGTTATGTCAAGGACGCCAATGTATTCCAGTAATGAAGGAATTAAGGAGGCTATGTATTCCAGTAGTGGGGGAATTAAGGAACAAGGACGCCAATGTATTCCAGTAATGAAGGAATTAAGGAGGCTATGTATTCCAATAGTGGGGGAATTAAGGAACGAGATATTGACAAAGGCTCACAACTCAACATTTGCTATGCACTTAGGTAGTACAAAAAATCAGAGTGTCCTTGAGATTCGAGCGTAAGAGTAAACTTGAACAATACTAACTTTTGTAGAAGCTTGAAAAATCATGTCGTGGCCATTTTAAATCTC